TGTGTTATTGCCATGATTTTTCCATTCAAAACATAAATCGTTGGTTCGAAGATCAAACCATACAAACAGTATAGCAATCGAGGCTGACAAGAATATTGCACTGATTATGTAGAAATTTGTCTTCAAACTTTGAAACAGAGATCTTCCTAAGGTAGATGTATTTTGATCGTTTCTTGCAACGGTTGGAACGTCGCCGCGTTGCGAACCAAAAACATTGTCTGTACTACCATACTTTATGCAACGTAAGTTTTTATTGTTATCGTTGCCCTCGTAATACCCATTGCTTCGTGTACCTGCTTTGCCTCTTGAAACATTAGGAAGGTCTGCAGTAAAGGCTGAAAACAACGACAAAAGAAATGCAATAATTTCCTCGAACATATATCCAAAAGGGAAATGCCTCGCTATGGAACTTCTTTAACTTACAGACACTTAAAATCTGATAACATTTTATATTTCACTCATTTACACACGCGTTCCTTTCCGTTTCCGCTTTTCTTTATATGCGATTGTCACTTCATTTTCGCACTCGTGACTAAGTTATGTAAGAGCTAAATAAAGATCATGAACTTGTTTCACTTTGGTAAATTAACCCAAGGGTCAAGCAAAGTAATTGTTTCTTTTGTCAACATTGAATATCAGAATATGATCTCAGTATAAGTTTACGTATATACGAAATCTTAGGACGAACTTAACTTGCAACCATTTGACAATCCTGTTCATGAAAATTGTTCATATAAGAGGACTTTGTTTACATTTCAAAGTGAATGCTTTGGGAGACGATGTAATGTAATTCTTTATTGCAACATTACATGAGATAATCGCATTCATTTTATGTTTGTATTTACCAAAGCTCCGGATTTCTTCTATGCAAAGAAAGTAAACCTGTTAGGGCACGTACTGAAAATGAGTATCATGTGCAAGAGTATATCAACAAGAAATATGCGGGAATTGGGAGAGCACCCCAAAAAAAACAGGTCTTACATTGTGTGGTCTGGGACCTATTTTGTAATGTATATTTGAAGGAAAAACTCAAAATTTCAGCTGGACCAACTTTTATCGTCTTCTTTCAGCTCATGGGCCGACTTTGTTGCATACTTCACAAATAAAACCCGCCCCACCCTCCCAAATTGCGCCATGGGAAATACGAGATCGTCAGGGACGTAACCTGAGTTTTACTGAGAAACACGTGGCTATAGACCAGTCTTTTAATGAAATACATCTTTCATTGTTTCACTTTAATTATCGAAGGCATCAAATTGTTGCTAAAATTTTGTCGCATTTGATTTTTACGACAAAACGATGTCTTAATCTAGCACAACGTTTGATGGATACAGAAATAGAGGGTGTCATTCGTACTCTTATAGTTCTGCCCCCAGGAGGACGTTGATTTGAACAACAACAACGATCAGATCTTGTTCAGGATTCACCAATGATCTGATCTTGTGACCAACAATCTTCTGACAATCTTCTGATCTTCTGACCAACAATCAGATCTTGTACAAGTATGATCAAATTTTGTACAGTTCACTGACCCAAGATCAAATTTCCTTTCACTTTCATTTTCTCACAGCTCACTCAAGTCTTGAACAATGCTCAATTATTGTTAATTGTTACATTCAAATTTCATTTGTAAATATCCAGTGCGGAAGGAGTACTTGCTGTAACACGGGCGTGTTTAATTTTGTTACGTGTGGATGTATTCGGAATTTAAGCTTCTGTAATTTTTAGTGAGCTCTATCGCAAAACATTTCACTCTTGAAAACATGATAGACGAGATTATCGCATTTCTTTTGTCGCTATGTTCAGCGTTTACCACTGACTTTCCTAGCGTTTCAGGAAGCGAAACAGGCACGCGAAGCAATGGGCGCGAGAACAACGGTAACTATGAAAATTCACGTTTGGTGAAGTACGATGGTTTGAACGATAAAGCCAATCTTTTGGGTTCACAACGCCGTGACGTCGACTCCGCCACGAGAAACGATGAAGATACATATACCTTACGTGAATCTCTTGTTAAAAGTTTGAAAACAAATTTCTACATACTCGGAGCAATATTCTTGTCAGCCTCGATTGGAATACTGTTTGTATGGTTCGATCTTCGATCTTACGATCTATGTTTTGAGTGGAAAAATCATGGCAATAATACAATACCATTCTCCGTAATGCGTGCGAAGCTTATCGGAGATGGCATACAGACGATTATTTTGGAAATGTGGTTGCCTGGGAGTTTGATATTATTGTTTGGTTGGAATATTTTTAGACGGTATTACTCGTCTACGATAGTTCTTTCACTTCTCACTGGCGTGACGGCGACATTGTTCTTAGCATTTCTGTTGTTGTACAATGAATATGACCAGCATCCCTATAGTCGTGTACCCTGCAACCTGTTGTTTGTTGGTAATCTTATTGTTTGCTGCATAATCGTTGTGCGTAAAACACGACAGAGACTCCAACACCTTTCATACACTAATCGTCAAGTTTTTGCCGTTGTGTCCCTTGAATTCCTGAGTAGTTTTACGCTTTCTATGTATTACAGATACGTAGCAGTACCATGGTTTAACTCTCTCCACAACGAGACGACCAAGTTCATTATAGCCATTCTTACTCCCATTCTTGCTGTGTTACCTGTAGCAATTTGTCGCTACTTGGTGTTGCGTCAAAGCTCAGAAATTATAGAGCCTGGGCGAGGCTTTGTTTTGGTTTATTTTATGCGAGGTGGTAGTATAATTTTATTTCGTATCATGCAAGCTGATTTTGGCAGCCTTCCGCTGTTTATCGGCTTGTCGTTGTTCTCATCTTGTGTTAACGTATTGAGAGTATCAACGCAGCGGTTGCGCAACAAGTTTTGGGCATTTATTATTAAAAAATTACAGAAAACTTGCTGGCCAAGATTACGTCGCCTGCCTCAAGATACACCGAACTCAAGACGACTGAAAGCCGATATTGAAATACAAAATATTCTTTTTGAGAACAACACCTTAATCATCAGTCAAGCATACTTGATTCTATACACGATGACAAGTTTCCAAGTATCTGAGTGGAATATTTTGGAAGAATCGATTAAAAGACTCGCCATTGGACTATCCATAGAGTTTGTTTTCAATACAATATCTGTATCTATTTTTCTATATTGGTTCAACGTTCCCATTGCGCAGGTTTGGGCACAATGTTGGCGCAGACACGTTCTGGCTAATTCATTTATCCTTGTTATCATTGTGTGTTACTTCACTCAGGCACTTATTACTGTTTTTCAAGTTCGCCATTCACAGGAAACTTCTGTGGTGTACATTCTAAGAAACTGCTCCATGCCTTTTTAAAAAAACGTTGGGGATGATTATTTCCCTATGAATAATATGTGTTTTGTTCTATTTCGCTAAATTCAGTTTTTTAATGGGCTTTCGTTTAGAATCTAGAAAATGTTATTTTATACTATATTAATGAATATGATAATAAACAGCTGTAAATATGTTCAAAACCAGCTTCGTCGCTTTTTTAGTGTTCTCCACTTCTTTTCTGCTCAAAAGCTTTGGCTTATCTTTCTTAGAAACTGTTGTGAACATCGTTGTTTTTGATTTTTCCAAAACCTTTGAACGGCGTCCATATTTGTAGAAACTATTATCTGTAGGTATGACGTCATAATTGCAGATATAGAGAATTATCTGCAGGTAGTTGACCAATCACAATTTGATTTCTTAAACAAATCTGACCGAATAATGCCGAAAGTTGACTGTATTTCATTTCGTAGTAAACGAGTTGCGCTATTGAAATACTTTATTGCATTAACTACGTCAACAAGTCTTTCTGCGAAACAAGTTTGGCATGGAAAGTTACGTCAACATGAAAGAAACAAATTAATATTGTTGATGTTGTTGCATTCGTTTTGTTCGTTTTGTTGCGTTCATTATGTCAATTTTTTCTTGTACTATATGATGTACTACTATATAGTGACAAGTCGTTTGACTGACAAGTCTTTCTGCCAAACAAGTTTGGCGTGGAAAAAAACAAATTATTATTGTTGATGTTGTTGCATTCGTTTTGTTCGTTTTGTTGCGTTCATTATGTCAATTTTTTCTTGTACTATATGATGTACTACTATATAGTGACAAGTCGTTTGACTGACAAGTCTTTCTGCCAAACAAGTTTGGCGTGGAAAAAAACAAATTATTATTGTTGATGTTGTTGCATTCGTTTTGTTCGTTTTGTTGCGTTCATTATGTCAATTTTTTCTTGTACTATATGATGTACTACTATATAGTGACAAGTCGTTTGACTGACAAGTCTTTCTGCCAAACAAGTTTGGCGTGGAAAAAAACAAATTATTATTGTTGATGTTGTTGCATTCGTTTTGTTCGTTTTGTTGCGTTCATTATGTCAATTTTTTCTTGTACTATATGATGTACTACTATATAGTGACAAGTCGTTTGACTGACAAGTCTTTCTGCCAAACAAGTTTGGCGTGGAAAAAAACAAATTATTATTGTTGATTTTGTTGCATTCGTTTTGTTCGTTTTGTTGCGTTCATTATGTCAATTTTTTCTTGTACTATAGGATGTACCACTACTATATACTAATGCTTTGGTCTGATTTTTTTTGTACACGTACGACGAAGAGGAAATATGCAAAAGAACTACGCACATGTCACATTTTATCACAGTCTGCAATCTGAACTCGATAAAAGCACTTGGCTAGAGTTTGTTGGATACCGATTTAACGTAAATTAAGAACAATAGCTTTCTTTAGTATTTCATTTTTGTAACTTTCATTTTAGTAGATTTCAAACGAAAGGTCGTTCTAGCTGAGTGCGTGTTGGGTAAAAATTTGCCGTCATCGTTTGAGTACTATCTGTATTCTTGAACGAGATTATAAGGTCAATTTTCTACTGTCTCATTACGAAAACATTCATTTGTTGTTGAGGAACAGCTGACATGCCACGAGGCTGTGACGTTTATTTGCCAGCTCTTTGCCGTCAACATCTGATATGCAAATAGTCGACGATTGAAATCGTTTTCTATAATTACTTTGAGACGCTTATTTTGTGAGCAGATTGAAACGGGTTTGTTGCTTTGGAAAACAAGTGACTTTAACGAGAACAAAAACGGGAAACATGACAACGAGCATTTCACGTAGCATTGCCAACGGATCTGTCGTTGTTGGTGTTATCGAACTGGTTGCGGCGAGTGTTAGTGTTGTAGTCGGTATTTTTGCTATGTCTACATACTCCGGGCACTCATCTTCATCCGCTGGCATTTGGGTATTGGAAGTATGTGTACGACGAATCTTCTAGTTATAATATATGTGTTGCGTTTTCATTGAACTTTAACTCATGAAATGTTTTGAATAACACTTCTTATGTACTTATGAGTTTCCCTTGCATGGCATAGACACGAGAAAAGAAGATTTGCTTAGTGCAATGTTACTTGACCGAATTGTGAAGCGATCACACAGCAAATCGATACAAACTTTTCTTTTAGTGTCTAATCCCGGGTACGCTGTCCATTATCGCCGGTAGAACAAAGAATATTGCTGTCGTAAGTGTCATTTTTTTCTCTATTTAAAAATTGTTGTTGAAACAGCTTTTCGTTCATTTCAAAATCCTTCTTATCAGCTCATGTAAACGTCAGGTGTTTACTTGTAAAGTTTAGAACAATAATAAGGCCGTCGCTTGAACGTTAACTGGGGGAGGGGGGGTATTCATATATTCAGTTGTGCCCTAATGATTTCTTTTTAAAGCAATTCACTGAAGGAACTAAGCAATTTACGTTCAATTGAAATCAGTTGTGCACAACTGAATACATGCATGAACACCCTCCCCTCCCCCTGAATTTACGTTCTCAATACTGCCATGTATTGGTGCACCACTTCGACACTTACTCGTGAAGATTTCTATTTTTCAAAACAGTTCTCCTTCGCCTTGTTCTTCAATATTGTCGGCACAGTTGTATCGTCCGTGGCTGCATTGCTTCTTTTCTCGTTTTGGACAATACTTGTTGGTTCTGGGTGTAATCATGTCCAATGTAAGTTGGCTTAAGCCGTTCAATTACCGTATTATGTAACTGAAAATTTTAAATGTAGAGTTCACTCATACAATGTCGTGCATGCACACTGGCTTTCACTAAAATTTCTTTTTGGTCTTAAGTGATAAATAGAAAAATGTTTTATTGTGGAATCATGTGTATGAAAAGAGAATTTTTTAGAGAAATGGCATAAGTAATTGGTTAGTAATTTCAAGGATGTTTTGAAATCCGATAAAGTCCTCTGACATTTGCAAACACGACAAAGACTTTTTATGTTTTTTTTAAGGATAACAAAAATACAAAACAAATAAATTTAGAACCATTGTCTAGAACAAATATTTTAGTTTTTATTCTAGCAGGCATTCGCGATTGATTTCCAAATTTTCTTTGATTGATTTAATTGATCCACCTCGGATCAGTTTACACAGGCTTAAGAAAACTCATAGACCAATCAGAGCACTCGTTTTAACGTACTTAACTTAACCCTTGATCGGTAAATGTCAGTTGTGTATATGCCAGTTTGAATGTTATGACCACAATTTTTTTCAGACGGTTTCGACTGCGCTGTGCACCATAAAGTATACGCAATCGTTGTTATCCTGGCAGTTATGATGATCATCTTGGCTAGCACCAGCTTCATCGGTTGTATTATTGGCTGCTTTGCCACATGTTGCATTAACACAGTGAGATTATATGATATAATAATTTGTTGTATGTTTCTTTTATTGACTGTGATTGCTGCACCTGAAGATGTCTGATATAAACAATTTTTATTGGTTTTTTGACTCACGGATGATGCAGAGCAACATGTGTGAATCTTGTGGTAAACACGTATATGTATAAAACTGGATAACACAACTTAGTGCTTTACTTGAAGTCGGGTGGTGGCCATATTGGACTATCCACTTTTTCAATTTTTATATGGGTTTTATGCAACAAACTGCTACTCTCGCATTTATTTTGGATCATATGTTTTACTCTTGGGACAAGAAAGAATTATTATAATGACAAGACTGCAATAGAACGGTTTTGGGCAAAAACTCCTGTTTGCTAAATTTCGTATAGAAGTCAAAAGTTGGCTTCAAAATTTTCTAGGCACCAGAATTATGTTGCGTTACCCAGTCCTTATATATATCAGTAGTGGTTATAGAATGAGAGGAAGTTTAATAATGGGTATGACCAGCCTGCATTGCGCTTATTGTTGGCCTTCCAAACGGGCACGTCGGACCCCAAAATCAGGCTTGAGTCTTGTTCTTTTCATCTAGTTTTTGATGAATATTCGAGTTCTTTTCAAGTGTTAAATGACTTTACTTTAAAAGATATTTCTTGCTACACTATCTGCTTTGGCAAATACTAAAACACGCGATATCTTGTCCATATCATCAAATTACACTTGTTTCATTCAGATTTTTCAACTGCCACGAATATTTTTCATCTCATCCTTGAGAAACTTGGAATCGCTGCAATAGGAGCGAGCTGTTGTGATTTTCCTGCTGCATAGCAAAGTTTAATTCATAAATAAATAAATGAGTCAATGGGCTTTAATGTAATAAGCTGCTAATCAGTCGCCCACTTTCGTGTAATCATTTTTATGAACTTTGCAGCATGGTCGGTTGGTCAAATCAAATTATTCACATGTCTTGAATATGTTATCTTTATTATGTAAACAATTTTAATGTTATTTTAGTATGAAGTGCGCATGTCCAATATTCCTATGGTTTTTTCAACATGTTTTTCTTTCAGACTCCCGTGATTATTACCTCCGTGCCAGCTCAAACATCCACCATAATTGTCACTTCACAAACTTGCAGTCAACACTCGCAAAGTTATCATCCTATGACTCCACAGAATGTCAATGGTTCGATAACGCAGGCTTACACAGGTGTGCCGGTGCAAGCATTCGGGTTTCAAACTCCCTGTGTTACAGATGACGAAAAAGCTTTGATAAACAACATTGTACTTTAGGACTTAGGGAGAAGTTTGCTTAGCACTGATGTACCACATTAATACATCTGTATTGTTGTCGTTTGTAACGTGATGTTGTATAAATGTAGTGTTTTCTCTTGACTCTGTTTTTGACAGTACTGTTTTAACGTAGAACCCAGTCTACTAGTTATCCGACTCTGCCGAAATCCTTTGAGTGAGGCAAGTCGCCATCTTGAAAGGTGGCAAAACTGGCTGCATGTACAACTAAAATGTGCTTCTTTGGTCAATGAAATGTTTGATGAGATTGATGAGTTTGATGAAATGTTTTTTTTAACTTGCATTTAAATATGAATACTTTTGACGATATGAACGTAAGGAAAAAGCGTTCCTGTGCGTCTTTTGATATCCAAAACGTTACCGAATTTGATTGGATGGTGTGCAGTTATTTTATTCAAAAATATAACCGTTTTATTTAAATTATATTCGTGAAAACATGGTGTTAGCAATAGACGATTGATATTTTACGGCCTTTTTTTCCAAGTGTGGCAAAGCTAAAAGACAGTAGCGTATTGGCGAGAAGAAACTCCTACGTGTCAAGGCAACATTCAACATACCGATTTCATGGTAATTAAACAGATTATTATTTGTTCAGTGAGTTTGCTTAATCGGAAAAAGCTAGAGTTGACTTTTTGAAAATTTTAATCAGTCACTCACCTTAGCCGTCGGAAAAAAAATTCAAACAGTACTGCCTGGTTCAAAGGAGTAAAATGAGCGTGAAGGACAAGGCTTTTGTGTCTTGCTCTAGATTTTTACAAAGAAAAGACATAAGCTTAACTCTTTTCTTTGTCGTTTATGCCCCTGCTTATGTCGCATGCTTCGTTCATTGTTTTTGATTAATCTATTATCTTAGCTTGTGCTTATGCTCATTTCAGTCGTGTGAATACATACACAAACAAGCAAACCTATGGCTGACGTAACAAAACAAATATATTTTTTAATAAATTTGATAATCGCTAATCATTACCGTCTGATCAAATTCGTTTCTCAAATAGTTGAGAAAATTCATAAGCAAGTTGAAGTTTCTTCTACACGTATAGCGCGAATATTGAACTAAAATACAAAGAAATGATTTGAGCCAGAACGATAATTCGGTGGGGTGGATATTTATGCACGCTTATGATTCTTTGAATTTGCATTATGTACGTTCTTGAAGACATTTACCATAAAAAATTCTTGGTAGTATCCCCAACCAATAGCGATGCACTAACTAAAGGTATTTAAATATCAAATTGACATGCTTTAAATAATTTTGAGCTGCAGTTCTCTGCTGCAGAAATAAGACCGCTTGCATTGAGGAAGTTTGAAAGAAATCAAAGGTTTTTGTTGCCTGTTCATTGTTTCGACCAAAACCTAAATCATTGGCAAAAATGGTGATGACAAAAAGTACTGCGATTGGGTCCATTGTGACAGGATTGATTATGCTTGGTTTTGCTATCATCGCTGTTATTTGTGGCGCGATTTCGTCCAGCAAACTGTCTGGAAGAACTGCAGCCAATACTGGTCTATGGTCGCTTTACGTAAGTGTATTTTTAAAGTAAGATCAGTGAGCAGTTTTATGTTAACATTGCAAACTTAGTTTTCCTCTTTTGAACTTCAGATAGCAAGGCTGGTTTGTTTCTATACTAGGCTTTCTTCATATTGACGCCTTATGTGTTAGATTAACTTAACATCCTCAAAGCAACAGTTTATAACGACGAAATATTTCCATAGAGTTTCTGCAAGTAATGAAAGTTGATTAACTCAACGTTGTAAAGTTTAAAGCGCATTAAATAAACGCCATGTTCATTCTTCAGTCTTTCTCAGCTCTGTTCTAACGTGAACGATCCATATCAACAAACATATAACGACACTCGTTTTCTTTTTGTTAGTTTGCCGTGCCTGGAATCTTGAGTATTGTGGCAGGAGTTAATAAAAAAACCATTGTGGTAAGTTTGAGCTTATAACTCGTAGTGAGGGGTGAATTATTGAATAGATTTAAATGATGGTCAGGACAAGACGCAACATGCTACATCCAGGTGATTGATATATAGGTCAGTTTATCGCATCCTACAGAAGAAAGAAGACAATTTCACGAGATACTATTTGCGAAAGCAGATAATTCAGAAAACTGATGTGACTCTAGTTCGTTTGTTTTTTATTCCAAAGCCCTTTTTTTGTGTGTTTTTTAGATGGCGTTTGCCCTGTTCTTCGATGTCGTTGCCGTTATTGTTTCCAGCGTAGCAAGTGTTATTCTAATGGTCGTAACAATCGCTATGAAAAAAGTGAGGTCATCCCATTATCATTGCACAGATGTGGGTGATCAGTGTTATTGTTATGGTACAAGTTTTCGTTATACAACAGTAAGATGTAAGGCGTGTTTTGCTTTTTTAACATTGAGCGTTCTTCACTATGGAAGAAGATCAGACTCCGCTTGGCCTCAGTTTAAGGCTTTGCCATTTCAACTTATTGTGCCGGTGAAAACTGGAAAACTATCCCTGTAAAATTTACAAATTAAGACTTCATTATCTCTAAAATGTATTTCTTGCTTTGCGCGCGAAGACTTCACTGTATTCAGAAGGATAAAACTATAAAGGATTTTTACTAGAACAGGTTCAGATATCGGAGCCGTTTCTAGCTGAGTGAAATAGTTTAATGTTAAGTGTTGTCACATTACCAGGCTTTTTGTTGCTTTTACGCATTTTTTATTTCGCATCTTTTAGCTTGTATTAAACTTCTTGCCAAAAAATTCAATTCACTTTCCAAAGAAATCAGTAGAGCACAACGGAATGCATGAATATACACCCACCCAATTAATGTTCTAGTTAAGCCTAAGTTCTAATTAATGTTCTAATTAATGTTCTAATTAATGTTCTAGTCTGTTTTACATTTGTTAGTTTTTATATTTTCTCTTTCAGGGAACATGAAGTGCGACGATATTGACACAGTTTATTCTGTTTTTGTCGCTGTTCTTGTTATCTACATCATTCTAACTATAATTACTTTCATCGCGTCCATAATTGGATGTATGGGAACTTGTTGCGCACCACGTGTAAGTGTTTTTATCTTTGACGTCATGGCTTAGCCACTTAATCAGTCACGTGAGCATTACTAGAGAATGCGCTCTCGTCGAGGAAGTGCAGTGCGTGAAGTGCAAGTTGTGCTGTGTAATATGAAGTCCTCGAGGTTTTTATGATACTTTGACTAGGGTTTACAGTCAAACGCGTCTTGTAACAGTGTCCAAAGACCGTTCTTTGTGCGTTTAACAACGCTACAGTATTCAAATCAGCGGGAGATTATTTATTAATGGCGTAGCTAGCCTCAGTTATTGTTGGATCCATATTCATGTATTTTGAAATTTGTAATAATAATCGTTTTCAACAAAATTGAAAAATTAGCACATGCATATAAAAATACAAACTCGCTATATATAATTACTACTTCTCGTTTAGGATATGTCACGAAGATAAAATTAAGCACTTTTATTTTTAGTTATTCCCAAAATTTATTTGCCAACTCCTCTCTTCAATCACTTTGATATGTTTGCTGTAGGATCCTGTAGTGGTCGTGACCCCTGGTGTACCTGTTCAGGACGCAGGCGCTGTGGTCGTGACGTCCAATCAATCTTCAATCCAACCAGGTTATGTAGTGCAGCCAATGCCGTCCCAGGTCCCTGGGTATGGTTATGGCGTTCAACCTCCTCCATTACAGACCACGTATGTGAACAAGGTGGCGTTGTCGAATTAGGAAATCCATTCAGTTAATCAGTGTTTTCCAACTTTTTTTCATGCTTGATGTTTACATTTTTTCACATTAATAACAATTCGATAGTCATTTAATCCTAATGTAAATTTGTCATAAAAAAGACATAGCTGGTACGCAGTGGCAAAGTCAATTAGCATAAATATAATTGCCCAACCTAAAATATTTAAAATGGCCATAGACATCAAGCTGAAACCATCTCTTATTGTCCAAGGCAGTTCCATCCCACTAAATCTTATCTAATTCCATTCAACACCACTCTATCCCTTAACACAAAAATCACACAACACTGTCATCACTATACCTTGTAAATTATCACCCTGAATATAATGTATAACTAGTATATATGTTTTCTAACTTCCTACATGTATGTAATGTAATCTGAAAATGTTTTAAGCTATAGACGAAACGTTATTGTTAATAAAATTATATACCCAGGGCCATTTTAAAAGTTTTATTTTTGGGCAATTATATTTATACTATGAATTCGCTTTCCGCCTGGCAAATTCATTGTCAAAATATTGAACTATGCAAAAGGTCAGAAAAACGATATTGGAGAATTTTAATTTGGACACTTTAAGCGTTTACAACAGACTGTATTTTCTTTTAGTGACACATTGAACAGTTTTATTTCATAGTTTTTACAACAATCCCCATATGTAACTCTTGTTTAATCGGGATATCTGTTGAAATTGTGAGGAATCTTCTTTAAACATTGATATACTTTCTTGCTGAATTTGCTGAATTTATCTCCTCATAAAAAATGCAAAAGTCAGGATAAATCACTCTCCCACCCACCCCCGCACTTTTAAAACGGATTTGAGGATTTCACAGCACGTTCTTGAAGACATTTATAAGGAAAAAATTCCTCATGGACAATGTGATTGGTAAAATTCAATTTTCGGTATTTTTCACAACCAATAGCAGTGCAGTAAAAGTATTTAAATATTAAAATCACACGTCTTAAAATATTTTGAGTTGCGCTTTCCCCGCTATAGAGTTAAGACCACTTGCATTGAGGAAGTTCAAAGAAATCAAAGGTTTTTGTTGCTTGTTCATCGTCTCTACCAAAACCTAAATCATTAGCGAAAATGGTGATGACAAGAAGTACTGCGATTGGGTCCATTGTGACAGGATCGATTTTGCTTGGTTTTGCTATCATCGCTGTTATTTGTGGTGCGATTTCGGCCAGTAAACTGTCCGGAAGAGCTGCAGCGAATACTGGCCTATGGTCGCTTTACGTAAGTGTATTTTAAAAGTAAGACTTTTTTGTTTCATTATCCTCAAATCAATTATTGATTGAAACCAAGGGACACAGTGTGCTTGCTAATTGCTGTCATCACAATTTGATTTACTCTTCTAAAAAGTGTCGGAAATGAATAACTATAATTTTTCAATAATTCTTGCTCGCGAAATGAGCGCCAAAGAGTGTTCTTTTGTAAATTACAGCGTGCTTGATGTCAAAATCAGTAATAATCTCGACTAAAGAAGATTCTCTGCATATTTTCTAAAGGAATGGCGGCGATTGATCCCGTCGAGTTTAATTGTTAATTTTGAAATAGTTTTAAAAAAACGACAATAGTTATTGTGAAAGTGATCTTATATTCTAAAGAGATTAATTTTATTTATGGCATTTGTGGTTGTGTTTCCATGGGGATATTAAAAGTCAAGTATGTGGAAAATCTGCATAGGGCCTCCTGCGTATTGTCAACGTTTTAATTAATGCAAACGTTTGTATAAAATACTTCAATTAAATTAACGACGAAACGTTTTGGTATAGTTTCTGCGAATATTGAAAGTTTAGTTAACTGATGTTGTAAAGTTGAAAACTTTTTCCAGATAAATGACAATTCTTAACTGTGTGAATGAAGAAATACTTTACCTGTAGATGTATTTCACGTAGAAAAAGGACCTGCTGTGCAACAAGGATATTATTATTAAAAAAGCGGAAAATAATTACAACGAGTGTTTGTGCATGTTTGAATAATGAGTTATTTTCAGAGTATCGACGGGGATTATAGGTCCAGTCCGGTATGACACCATTATGATATTATGATAATAGATAACAGAATTTATTTCTAAATTTTGTTATCTATTTCCATAATCGAAGCTGCAGATGTAAACTCGTCTTTTCTAAGTTCTGTGTCTTTTTATGCTCATGTCCATATCTAATTATACAATTTTCCTACGTGAAACATATTATTCTGAAACAATTATTTACTTAATAATACTCATTAAACTTTTTATCATGCTCTAACTATTTTACTACATTTCTTATACTAATTCTCTATAAATTAATTACTATACTACAGTAGATCACGTGTAAATAATCAGTAGATCACTTTCATATCGTAGCTAACATACACGTTTGCCGATTGGTGGGTTGCAACCATCCCCCTGGAAGTAAGAGAAGAATGGAATGTTCGCCATGTTCGATGAAATTTGCATTTTAAATAAGGAAAATACTTTGTTAAATCATCCAACATGGCGGCTATGACGTAGCTTGCTAACCAAGAATACATGTTTACATTTTATGACGAATATTACTTTTTTGATTTTTATGATCATCGTAATTGTTTTTCATTTTGTCTTGTTACACCATTAGAAAATCGCTTAGTACTTCTTTTTCCATTTTGAGAGGGACAGTTGGTGTGGGTGTTGACTGATGTTTCGACATCCTTACAGAGAGTTATCTTCACATGAACACCATCATTAACACCAACCGTCCTTATCAGTGCTGCTCTAACTTGGACGATCCATTTCAACAAATATCTTACAATGCTCATTTTCGTTTTGTTAGCTTGCCGTGCCTGGAATCTTGAGTATTGTGGCAGGAGTTAAGAAAAATAGCTCTGTGGTAAGTTTGATCTAATCGAAGTTGGGTGTAAAACATCGGATAGATTTAGTCGACTGTCGGAGATACTTTGTCAGGGAGCGCATGCACAGCACTTTTCAAAATGACGAAGAAATATTAATGAAATAGTTGCTTTCAAAGATGATTGATTTCTCCATTCTTTAAAAATGCTTTCGAAAACAATACATGACATTGCACAACATTTCAATTTGTTTTGTGTATTTAGTCGTGGATTTTTTACGATTAACTGAATGTAGTAAAGGGTATGTGGAATATGTTTGGTATGCAAGACGTGTGGGATATGTTTGTCATGTGTGATATGCCTTTGTAAGCGTTTCCCAAACAAAAGTACAGAAAATTTCGAATGGAAAACCTTTTTCTTATTACCATAATGATTGTTTTGAATCCTAAATGATTAAAAATCTCAATCTTATATCAGACACGCGAGATTTACCCAAGACACGCGTGTGTAGTGTTTTGTGATTCTCTCGCGGAGTAATAATTGATTTACTACACACGCGTGTCTGGGGTAAAATCACGGCTTCAAAAATTATTAGGGTTTTGTATTACGCAGTAATTTTGAACTCTAGTGATTTGGACGTGACGTGTGTCATGCTACATCCAGGTGATTGATATATAGGTCAGTTTATCGACGCTTGGGGAATGCAACTCAAAGAATGGAGAAAACAATTTCACAAGAAATAACTTGCAAAAGCAGATAATTCACAAAGCTGCATTTAACCTGGGTTCATTTGTTTTTTATTCAAAAGCTCATTTTTTGTGTTTTTCAGATGGCGTTTGCCCTTTTCTTCAACATCATCGCCGTTATTGTTTCCAGCGTAGCCAGTGTTGTTCTGATAATAATAGTAATCCTTATGAACGAAGTTAGGTCATCCGGACATTATAGTTGCCTCGACGTGGGTGATCAGTGTATATGTACATCAACATCTATCTCCTCTGAATATAATTCAGTAAGATGTAAGGCGTGTTTTGTTGCTTTCATATTTAACATATCAACTCAAATATTTCTTTCATTTTTCCCTATTGATAACAAGTACATTTAGCACCTGACAGAGCGACCCTTTTTAAATAAAGATTTCCATTCATTGATTCATTCATTCTCGGTGTTTGGCAAAGAGTTTCATTTCTCTATTTTTTTTCAGTAGAAAATAAATCATTTGATACTATGTCCCTACAGATAACAAAACCCACTTTCCGAGTGTTTTTCCATCATCTCGCATTTGTACGTGATTTTCTGTTTCGTTTTTGCGTTTTCAAAACTTTGCTTACGTGATTTTCTGTTTCGTTTTTGCGTTTTCAAAACTTTGCTTACGTGATTTTCTGTTTCGTTTTTTTGCGTTTTCAAAACTTTGCTTTACGTGATTTTCTGCTTTGTTTTTGCGCTTTCAAAACTTTGCTGACATTTGTTTATAAAATTACGTGTAAAAGAGCTCAAAAATTTTTAATTCATACGTCGGCATTGATAATCACTGCACTTTACATGAATGCTATATTTTCCGAAATTGTTGGCTGGTAAAAGACAATATGGGTTATCGAAGGATAACATAATCAAAAGATGTATAAACTTCGCCTTTTAATGAATCTGACAGTCGTTGACATTTGTTATTATTTACATATTTTGTTTCAGGGTACATGAAGTGCGACGATATTGACACGGTTTACTCTGTTTTTGTCGCTGTTCTTGTCGTCTACATCATTCTCACTATTGTTACATTCACTGCGTCCATATTTGGATGTATGGGAACATGTTGCGCACCACATGTGAGTATTTTAATCTGTGACGTCATAGCTTAGCTACCACATGAGTCACGTGAGGATCCCTGGAGAATGTGCTCTCAGTGAAAAAGTAGATTTACTATATCTGTATTTTGATGCACGGATTGGAAAATGTGACGCTCCGCTAGTTCTCAGAGCTTCCTGCTTCCAGTGCATATTTGAGCGTGAAGTGCAAATCGTGTTGTGTAACATGAAGTCCTTGCAGTTTACCGCCATGATAGTTTGATTACGTTTAAAGTTAAACACGTCGTGTAACCGTTTCCACTTTCGAAAGACCGTTTTTTAATGAAAAACATCAACTGGCAAGTTCTATATAAACTTTGTGCGTTTAACAACGCTAAAGTATTCAAAACAGCGGGAGATTATTTATTAATGGCGTACATAGCTAGCCTGGGTTACTGTTGGATCCATATTCATGTATTTTAAATTTACTGTGATTCGCCAAAATTTATTGTCCTTCTCTCGCCAATCACACTTGATATTTTTACTGTAGGATCCTGTCGTGGTCATGACCACTGGTGTACCCGTTCATAACGCAGGCGCCGTAGTCGTGACGTCCAACCAATCTTAAATCCAACAAGGTTATGCCCATGGCTATGTCGCGCAGCCAATGCCGTCCCAGGCCCCAGGGTATGGTTATGGCAATCAACCACCTCCAGTCTATACTACGTATGAGAACAAGGTGCTCTTGGCGAATTAAGAAATGCATTCAGTTAATCAGTATTTTGCTACTCCTTTTTCATGCTTGA